GGTTGATGGTAGTCTTCTGTAGAATATGGACTGTATAGGATGGTTTGCATAGGCATGATCCTGGTTCAGGCAGGTGTTTGGACTAGGTGACCTCTGGAGTTCCCTCCCAGCCCTACTTCTCTAGGACACTAGACTCCAGTACTAGTGATACAGTATCATTTGGTGACTTTCTGCCCACTTGGTTGTCTTTTTGTAAACATTTGATCTATTCTTGCAAATTGGTGTATGCTTCACTAGTCATAATTGTGTTTGCTTTGATCTGAATAATATAGTTCTGCCATACTAAGAAATCTTCACTTTCTCTTTAACTGGAGAAAAATGTGTTGTGTTACATGGGATGAAGCACCACACCATCTGCACCCCGTTTTTCAAAGTCCTAGATCTGCTCATGGGGCTGAACGTGTCATTCTAGGGCTAGGTTAGATGCAGATTTGTACAGGATGATTTGGAGAGGGATGCTGCTGCTTCAGGCAGCAGGTTGGACTAGAGGTGACCTTTAGAGGCCCCTTCTAGCCCTGGGCAGATCCAGGGTTATGAAAAGGGGGATGCACATGGTGAGGTGCAGCATCACCTAGAAAACAACACCTTCTTCTCCAGTCAAAAATCAACTAAGAGCTTTACTAATACACTAGGTGCTTGGGGCTGGATTATTCAGTTTAAGGTGGAATCAGAAACAAATCTAGTGTCATTGAAATGAGTTAAAAACAATCTGCAGGGCTGTGAAAAAGGAGCTCCACTCCCAGAAGCAGCAAACAGACAGCAGAATGGCAGAAGGGATAGGTTGATTGCTGGAAAGGATATCTCCATTGGTGCAACATCAAGCCCATTACTAAGAAGTGAGGGTCATTAACACCTTGGGGTGAAGAGTTTAGAAGGGACCAGGTAGATCAGTGGTCTCCAACCTTTTAAAGTAGATCACCTTTAGCATTTAAAAGCTACCCAAGATGTAACGTGTGCAATGCTCCCCTCCATGCCCCTGCCCAGTGTGCGCCCCCAGATCTGCACCTTGGCCAGGACAGCTCTGCTGCGGGCTGAGGCCAGGGCTGCACTGGGTTGCGCTCAGGCCGGGCAGTGGCGATGCTGGGAGCAGGGCTAAGTGCGGGGCTGCAAGCACCCAGTCCTGTAGCCTGGTAGCTCACATCTCCTCCCTCTAACATCCTGGGCTGAGAGCCCTCAAATCTATTCCCTCCCCCACACCGGGCTAGTGGCACCCACACTCCAATAGTGCAATCCATGCCCTCCCCCTGGGCATCTTCAGTGGGCTCCCATGCCTCACGGCTAAGGAACAAAACTCACCAAAGGAACAACCAAACGCATTGTGTGGGGCACTGTCTTGCAGTCCCTGCACAGCTCTATCCTTGAGCCCAGCCTGGCTCAGATCTGACTCCTCAGCTTAGAAGCTCTGTTTCAATTCCCTGCTTGGCCCCACACCTTCCAGTAGCCAGTCCCCCTTCCCTGACTGGGCACAGGAACGGCTCCTTTCTAATGAGCAGCCTTAATGCCCCCGCAGTCTGCACCCTACTAGCAGGCTTACAACTCTGCAGTTTGCCTCCCTGCCGCTTTCACCCTGCACCCAGTAACAGAGGTAAGGGACCCTGTTGCAGGGGTCCAAAGCTGGAGACTAGTCTACGTGGGGCCTCACCAGTGCCAAATAGAGCAGAAAGATGAGTCGTGGTGGATGGGTCGGCTTTGACCTGGAAGGGTGTGGGCAGTGGGGTCCCGCAGGGCTCGGTCCTTGGACCGATACTCTTTAATGTCTTCATCAGCGACTTGGATGAGGGAGTGAAGTGTACTTTGTCCAAGTTTGCAGATGACACAAAGCTATGGGGAGAAGTGGACACACCGGAGGGCAGGGAACAGCTGCAAGCAGACCTGGACAGGTTAGACAAGTGGGCAGAAAACAACAGAATGCAGTTCAACAAGGAGAAATGCAAAGTGCTGCACCTAGGGAGGAAAAATGTCCAGCACACCTACAGCCTAGGAAATGACCTGCTGGGTGGAACGGAAGCGGAAAGGGATCTTGGAGTCCTGGTGGACTCCAAGATGAAC